TTGAAATAATACAACTACAACTTAAATAAAATGATTTTTTAATGAAAATGCACGCTTACATTTATAATGTCCAGATAAACCACGAAAGAAGCAAAAACTGTAACGATTTTTATCCATTTGTGACATGTCATAACATGCCCGTGCCTTTTTTTTATATTTTCATTTTTATGTAATCGATCGTTAACATGACACAGCAACGGGAAATACCTCCGTTTTCGAAGCTTCGTATGAATAACATGCGAGGCGAGGTATCGTTAGACAGCTCTGGAACATCAACAATATCACTGTAAATCAGTTCGCTATAGCCGTTAATTCGCTACTCACGAGTTCGTTATTCACGTATAATTTTAATGATATTATAAAGGACTGTTGACGGGACTTTTAAATTTGTTCGCTATATCCGTTTGTACGCTATATCCGTGTTCGCTATAACCGTGTTCTACTGTAGTTTAGTAGTTTCACACATACACTGATACTCTGGCGGTCTAGCTAGTTTAGTAGTTTCACACATACAGTGATACTCTGACGGTCTAGCTAGTTTAGTAGTTTCACACATACACTGATACTCTGGCGGTCTAGCTAGTTTAGTAGTTTCACACTTACACTGATACTCTGACGGTCTAGCTAGTTTAGTAGTTTCACATATACAGATATACTCTGACGGTCAAGCTAGTTTACTAGTTTCACAGTGACGGCGCGACAAATATTCTGCTTCTCGTCGAAGTGTAGCAGATACCTACTGCCATTATACCACCGACCGTTCCTCCTTATCTGCACGTGTTTTTTTATTTATTGCATGAAATATACCTTTAATGTTGTCCTTGAGCCATGACTTATTGCATTGCAAAGGTTAGATTAGAAACAGCTTATTACAAAGTATCCCTATATATCTGAATTGTCGATTAGAATAACAATGATTCTAAACATTGAAAGCAACCGATGCAAACTGCGTCATTTATTATTGCAAACATACGTCAAATTTGTTATGAATACTTTTCAAAACATGTTCTTCTACTATGATCTGTTGGACAGTCTAACAGGACAATAGCGTCGTTCATTTTATTTCAGAACATGACACAACCGGTCAGCCTTAGGCCAGGATGGGAAACGGTCCTACATATACTCAGAGATAAACGTAAAGCACAGTACTTGTGTCTGTTTGGTACCGCAGTGTGTAGTTGTCTACTTCATTCGTGTGTTGAGGACATTAAGAGGCTGTACGCTGTTTACAGTAACATAAACAGTATCATGGACTTCAGGTAAACACAGATATAATTTAGAAACAGATATCATTTATGCATGTATGCATGGTCTGATCAACGTAATACCAACAGATAGAGATGTCATATAACACTTTCTATTTGGTGAACGGTAAATCAGCTGCACTGAGAGTTCGGTTAAGGACCCGAGGTCCAGTCGCACTTCCTGCTCTGGGTGTTGAACACCAGACCCTGCGGACAAGACATTTCAACAGCTCGACTATGGACACACATATAGAACTTGCTAGGATCGTTGTGAGGGAAGAGAGCTCTGCTGGAGTTGTAAGGGTCGGAAGAGGACGTCTGTTGCGACCAGAACTGGGATACGACCAGAACTGGGATACGACCAGAACTGGGATACGACCAGAACTGGGATAACTAATATGGAGAATTATACGTCTTACTGTCAACTATGTATTTAATCGACAAACAATTATTAAGATCAAAATCAGCTGCAAAACGCGTGTCCCTTATTTTAACTACTGATTGCAAAAAATGCCAATGGCAGCGCTCCATAGTCGATGTCCGCCATAATAGCTAAATATAGCAGCGCAAAAAATGTAGAAACGTGAAACTGAAACGAAATAGAATTCATTTTCATGCGCTTTACTGTAAATACTCTACTAGCTTAAAATAAGTGAGCGACCAATTAATATTCCTGGTTGTGGATGCTGAATTTAGGTGTCAGGTGTTTTTCATTCATTTTTTATTCATAATGATTCATTCATTCCCAGAAATGGTTACTGCTCAACTTGAAATATGACTTTCTTGCAATATCTAATGATATTTTAAAATATAGCTAATTATTCCTTTTAACAATATATGTATATGCCCACAAATAGAACCAGAAAATATATGATGTGAATGGTATTGGATTTTTATTTTATAGTTTAATAATTATGCAAATATGTGTAAAAATACAGTAAGTTGTATCTAAATATTGGCAAGCCTGGCCAATTTTTGCACAGTGTTTTATGTAATAATACAGTAAATAGTTTCTTTTAAAGTAAGAACGGGGAATAAAAGAAAATTAAATTATGTCATAATTATTTTTTTAATGATGTTACATCAGTTCTTGATGGGTATGTATGTACAACAATTCAAGTTTGTTTTGGGGATTTAAGACTTCTAAGTTATTTGTGTTATGCCATTTGTGAGAGTATATAAGAGATTGGTATGTTGTTTCTGTATACTTTTCAGAGAATATTTCTTATGAAATACTCGAAAAATATACAGATTCATGTACACATTCATGACAGTGTAGAAAGAGTGATGATCTATTATTTATAATGGTAGGGTGTATTTAGTAACGCACCATCACACATAATACTATGCTGATAATGCTGAGTGAAAGGTCCAGTTAAAGTTCTCATCCCCAAAAGTTCACATGGCCCCCTAAGCAGTTAGTGGCTCCCTATTTATATAACATGTTTAGCCTCCAAGTAATGCTGTGTTAATATTACTGCTATTAGCATATAAGATTTGCCAGTAATGATCATTTATAGCTTTCATCATTATTGTGTACATGGAAGCTGTTTGTAACAGACACCAGACATACAAGGCATAATTACTTCAGAATGAAAAAAGTGGGAGAGTTTGTGCCCCATCTCAGAAGGCTATAGTTATAACTTTGAAGAAAAATGATGGTGTAGAAATTATCAAAAAACATTTCTTTAGTGTTCCTTTGAAAATCCCCTTCCTGGTCAGCTTGATATAGATGGGAAATTCACTGAGCCCTTCATAGCAGCTTGAACTTGTTATTCCCTGCATTGTCATCAACAACATTACATTTCCTGAATTACTTAGCGGTTAGAGTTGTCCCCACTTCACAATTTGCTTGAAAGGGTCATCTGCTCATTGTGTTAGAAGGCGAAGCAGCTGAAGTTTGTTTGATGACATATTGTTACTAAGATGAAACTGTCAAGGTAAATGATGCCTTCATATTTACTGTTTTGTGTGTAATTTTCCCCACAAACCAATGCTACCTGATGTGGATATAGTTGTCAGGCTCAATGACTTAGTCATTGTCTAGCATCAAGTCTCAATGATTGCATGTGTGGCTACTTATGATCTCAATAACTGGATTGTCTGGTACAAACTCAGTTATTTACAGATATCATGAATATTGTGTAGCAAGAAACACCAAACAAGCGAAAACAATTTATGCCAGCTTTGGATTAGGGAATTTGTGTGATAAATGTAGTCAAGGAAATTAAAACATGCAATATTGACCCACTGCTTTTAGATTTTGCCCATAAGTATGAAGTATATGAACCCAAAAGAAAATAATAAATTCCATTAAAATATAAATTTTAAACTTGTTCCACTTCAAGCACATTTGGTGAACAAATCTCTTAAAATTAGTACTGTAGATCAGCTCAGTGTGCTATTAAATATGAAGTGTGATTTGCTATGAGAAGCCAAAATGAAATCAGAAGATTCCATTGATTGTAATTTTATGGTGTTATCCCTCTTCTGGTTGAATCTGCATGTATATTATTCTAATATTGTACAGATTCTCTGAAAATAAGAGATATTGTCCTGTTCAAGATTCAGCCCACAATTTTTAAATGTCAGATTATTCTGTTAGTATTAGACTTAGGAGACATTATCCCTCTCCTGGTCAAAGGTTTACAGGATTAAATCAAGTTAACTCTCTTAAAGTTGTACTAATTAATGGCCTATTTGCTTTCTTAGTCTGCTTTCTACATGTCTGAAATATGATCTAATATCATCAGATTTTAAAGTTGTTTTCCTGTATCTAATTAAGGGCATATGAATAGAAAAACATAGTTTAAAAATCTCTAAACATTGGCAATATTGACCTGTTGCACGTAGACTCTGTTTCACAAGTTTCACATATGACTAAATACTATCAACAGCTAAGAGGAATCTTTAGATTCGATAACTGTAATTTTTTAGTCAACTTTACTCAAGCAGATATTGTCACAACAAGGAATAAGAATGCCATAATAACTTTACCAGATAGATATAACATGAACCTAACAGTTTACACACTCACACCCATTCAGCTTGAGTCAAATAACTATCACCCTTCAAGGGCATCACGCACAGCACACAGTTTAGACACTAATGAAACACTGCACAATCACTGTTTCCCTCAAAATACTAAAGGTTACTACATGCAAATCACTAACACATTAATAGTGTGCTAACAATCACAATTTGATTGTAAGTTTAAAATGCTATGTACAATCATCACCCGAGATAACATCTTGAAATTCCTTAAACTGTAGGTTTTAAAGGCACTATCCCACTTCTGGTCAAAGGCACGTAATTAAAAATAACAGTTAAAAATCTCTGTAAAATAGAACTATTGACCCAGTACATTAATAATTTACTTGTAGGTTTGAAATGTTATTTCCTATCATCAGCCAAGAAAACTTCTTGAAATTCTATAAACTGTAGGTCTGAAAAATCTCTGAAAATTTGAATTATTGACCCAATACATTCCTAGGTTTTAAAGGCTGCTTATATCATTTCTGGTCAGTGGCATCTGTCGAATAACAATGCTCCTCCATAATGCCGAAAACAAAACAAAATTGAAAATGTTACAGTAAACTGAGAAAATCGTACTACAGTAGATGTAAACCATGCTGTACAACACTTTGTAGATACTCTCTCTCTCTGTCTCTCTCTTTTCTCTCTCTCTCTCTCTCTCTCTCTCTCTCTCTCTCGCTCTCTCTCTCTCTCTCTCTCGCTCTCTCTCTCTCTCTTTCTCTCGCTCTCTCTCTCGCTCTCTCTCTCTCTCTCTCTCTCTCTCTCTCTCTCTCTCTCTCTTTCTCTCTAAGACTCCATTTCAGAGCACTCTCTATTGAGATCCATGTAGTTGAGTTTTGTGGATTTCTCTGTGAGGTACAAGCACGCCTCTTTCACTGCTACATAAAAAATGTAGTGTGTTGTTGCACTGTAAAAGAAACAGGAAGACATAATCAACATACCATGTTTGCATTAGGTAGCTACATAAAAAAACATTCAGAAGAAAATGCCCTCTAACCACTGTTTTATCAACAAAGAGAAACAAATTGTGAATATATATTACCACATATACTGCAGAGTCAGTTCTTTGAGTTTGTCGTCCACATTGTGCACATCCAAGACAGTGGTCAGTGAGCTGGTGTAGCGGCAGCTGAAATATACAGGTTCTTGATAGTAGTGGTGCATGTCTTAAAATTGCATTATGGTCATGTTTAACTTTAATGAATGAATCAGTGAATGAATTAATGAAATATAAATTGATGAAGTTAACACTTTTTCATGAAGACAATTCATAACAACAGTAGGATGTGTATTGAAACTCATCTTGGCAAGAACAGGATCAAGCAAAGCACATTCATTATATACTGATTACTGTATGTTGTTGTCTCTGGATAATAACTAACCTTTTGTCTTTTGGGATACGACGTGTAAAGTTGGTTTCAAGCCACTTCAGGAGGTGTCCATAGAGCTGCGGTTTCAAAATTCAAACATTCTCATGAAACATGTAATGTTCATTTGTGGGTGTGGCTGTGGGTGTGGGGTGGTGTGGGTGTGAAATTGTGGGTGTGGTTGTGGGTGAGAGTGAGCGTATGGGTATGGGTGTGGTTGTGGGTGTGGGAATGGGTCTGGATTGGTGTGGTTGTGGATGGTGTGAGTGTTGGTGTGGGCATGGATGCGGGTGTGGTTGTGGATGGGTTTGGGCATGGGTCTGGATTGGTGTGAGTGTCTACATGGGTCTGGATTGGTTTGGATGTGGTTTTGGATGGGTGTGAGTGTGGATGTGTGTGGGTGTGAGCATGGGTCTGGAAGGATGTGGTTGTGGATGGGTGTGGGTATGTGTCTGGATCTGGATGGGTAATGGTGTGGAAGTGGATGGGTGTGGGCATGGGTCAGGATGGATCTGGATGTTTTGATTGTGGATGGGTGGGTGTGGGCATGGCTCTGGATGGGTGTGGTTGTGGATGTGGATGGGTGTGGTTGTGGATGTTGATGGGTGTTGGTGTGGGCATGGGCATGGGTGTGGATGTCGGTGTGGGCGTGGTGCGGTTGTGGATGGGTGTGGTTGTGGGTCTGGATGGGTGAGGGTGTGGAAGTGGATGGGTGTGGGCATGGGTCTGGATGGGTGTGGTTGTGGATGTGGATGGGTGTTGGTGTGAACATGGGTGTGGATGTGGGTGTGGGTGTAGATGGGTGTGGATGTGGTTGTGACTGGGTGTGGATGTGGGCATGGGTGTGGATGTGGGTGTGAATGGGTGTGGATGTGGGCATGGGTGTGGATGGGTGTGGGCATGGGTCTGGATGGGTGTGGGTGTGAGCATGGGTCTGGATGGGCACGGGTGTGATTGTGGATGGGTGTGAGCATGGGTCTTGATGGGTGTGATTGTGGATGGAGGTGGGTGTGGTCATTTAAGTGGATGGGTGTGGTCGTGGGTGAGGGTGTGGGTGTGGTTGTTAATTGGTGGAGGTGAGTGTTGGTATTGGATGGTGTTTGTCTGTTTGGGTCTTTTCATTATTACAATATCATCAAATACGTACCAAATTGGTATGAAGGATGCTCTTAAGTGTAACATTAAACTAAACATCATCATTTAAGCACTGTATCATTTACTACTTTAGTTACCTCTGCTGGTATGTAACTTGCTGCAAAGCCTGCCTTCACGTCCTGATACGGATATCTTTGCAGAAACATTCTGTGCCTCTCTCCCCGCCCATCTCTGTCGCCACTGTCAGGAGAGTACATTGAATGTTTGTTTGTTGTTTAATGCTGCACTCAGCAATATTCTAGCCATATGTTGGTGGTCTGTAAATATTCAAGTCTGGACCAGACAATTCAGTGATCATCAACATGAGTGTCGATCTGCCCAACCAGGATACAATGACACATGTCTATTTACCAAGTCATCGAGCCTGACCACCCGATCCGTTCAGTCGCTTCTTGTGACAAGCATGGGTAAAGGTATACCGGGTATTCCATAACACTACTATTTTTTCTATACATATTTTAACACTGGAGTTACTACATATGCAATATCACCATGGACATACATTGTAGATAATGTTTTCTATGAAGAAACATGAACCAGAAGTTATTTTGTGGGGCTGATATATAGGAATGGCAAATGCATTTACAGTAGTTATTTTGACTTCATCAATAATAAAGGTTATTTTTTTCTAACACCCATTTAACATTCATGCTGTTGAGAACTTTCTTAGGTTTAGTTTAGTTAGTAAAAAACACATGGAACAAGGATATAGGAACAGGCTAGACACATTACATTACATTTTCTTACCTGAAGTTTCCCTGAATCAGATTCCGCAGATACGTGACAAGATTGTCCTCCTAGAGAAATAATAATGAACTCTCTGTATAAATGCATCATCTAAACTGTGAACAATGTGAGACTCACTTACTGTCAGTTTCTTTCATATGCTAAAATATTATAAAATAAATATTATATATATATATATTTATATATATTTATATATTCTTATTTATCACTTACCTCTTTCTGAAAGAATGCCTTTGAAACTTGCATAGTTTCTGGTAGATGAATATTGTTACTTTCTGGAACTGAATCAAAATATATTGTATAGTTGATGAAATTTAACTCCATACATAGAATGTCATAGAATTTAGTCAGTGCACAGTTCAGAGTATAAAGCTTGTTAATGTTGTAATAGAAATTGATACATTATTTTCTGGCGCCCTGTACCTGTAGGTAACTCCAGGAATGTTATTAAGCACCATAATCATTGGTGTCTGCTTTATGGTCAATCAGTCTTTTCCTATTTCATCTTAAATTTTATCCTCATCAATAATGAATGTATTTGATCTAAGGTATCCTCACCTGTGTCCTCTTCACTGCCATAACCAGGTGGGGATGATCTTGTGTCACTTGCTGGGTGAATGGAAGTAAGATGACATAGTATGTTAACAGTTGCAGGGAAGATAAATACTGGTACATTCATAATAATGTTTCATAACCTACATTTTAAAAGCAAAGGAATAAAAGAAAACAAATAATATGAATGAAACAACTGCCATGGTTACAATGAATTAACTTTATGCATGACGATGATTGTAGAAGAAATACATGCTTCAAAACAATAATGGTGCTAATATAGTAGATGCTAATACGTGTACTGACAGGGAAAGTCTTTGGGACAGTCTGTGTTCAGTGATTTAACACATTATACCACATACAGGTATCACTATGTACTGTCACTGCAACAGTTCTCTTGCACTGTAAGGGTTGAAGAGGGACATTAATACAAAGTACCATTAATAGAGTCTCACCATTAATGTTGTCCACGCATTGGCACACCGACAACTCCAAGTGACAATCCCTGCAAATTTGTCCTGAGAAAATGAAGATATTTGAGCAAATCAAGGCCGATATTAAGACTAATTAACTGTATATTAATTCCTATTTAATATTCCAAAGTATTTATGATAGTCCAAACCATAGACACTTGCACATTTAATGATATCTTATGCAATATTAGTAATCAATTACACATACAGAGTAACATGTACCTGAACTGGCCGCCATTGTACTTGTCAAAAACATGTACTTACCTTGAATCGTTTGCCTAACTATGGTGAATAAAAAGAAGTCCTCAGTAATTCATGATCTGGTGGTATTTGTACATTATTGATCATAGCTGTTAACCACTTGTTTACTCATCTGCTGGTGTAATTCATATCATTTGAAAATAATTGTTTATGGTGTGGTTAATCTATTAATTTGTACTTACCTAGTTCATTCAGGCTCACATAATAGAACTCAGCGATATGTCCCAGGAATAGCTTCTTGGTTTTATCTTGTCTATTCACTGCCTTGATTGTGACTGGGTGTGTTTCTGATGCTGTTGTGATTACCTCAATGTCAGCTTGGAGGAACTCTGCAGCACCCAGGAGAACTAGGTGATCACCCCAGGTGCCGGGGGCCTCCATGGTTGAAAGGTAATCTTCCCATGACTGCTGTGTGCAGACAAACTGATTTAGTGGTGTTCCATTGACCTGCATGTACAAAATGTATCATTAATTATTATTTGAAAAGTCTCACAAGTTGGTTTAATACTATAGTGTGATTGGGCAGCATAGTGTTTAAAGCATTCATATCTACAAGCCTCAAATCTAGATTCTGTTATTATCATTGGTAAATGGGTGAAGCCCATGTCTAGTGTCCCCAGGTCATGTCATGATGTTAAACCAGACTTACTCTCTCAAGGCAAGATAACATGTCATACAAAACCACTGTGTATATAATTATACAAAAACAAGTTTCAATGCTGGCTTACTGTATTTGGGTGTGTCCTCAGATGCTCCACAATGTTGTCCCTAACCTCCAGAGCATTCATTTCCAAGTTAAGCACATGATAGATCTGGTCACTCAGGGACAGAAACATGCAGTTTCCTCCACCTGAGTTGTGTTTCACTACACGGCCCCTTCCCCTTGCCAAGTCTTATAATTTCTGGAGAAGGTGGCCATAAGATAGTGCTGTTGGGGTCATCATTTGTTTTTGTAATGCCCTGACATTCATGTAGATATCTGAAAATATATGTCAAATTTCAGAGCTGGTAATTAGACAGAAGGACATGGGCAAACACAAATTCTTCAGATTTTCTTTCCTTTCTTGCTTGCTACTTATAGTGGTAAATGTCTGATTTGCTTTCTTTACCTGTGTTCAGACACGCATCAAATACATTCCTTCTGCTTACCTGTGTGAGCTGTCATCTAATAATAAAGTACTTGAAGGAAACTGATAGCCAGTGTTCTAAATTGTAAATATATAATATTGTTATGTTAATATTGGTATATGAGTTTGATATTGTGTATGTGTTAACTTAGTCTCGTCACCACGTTGCTGAAGTAATGCTGATGCTGCATAAATTTGTAACTCACACATATGTATTTATGTAAGTGAAACTCAAACAAGGATTGTAGTAACTGCATGCTTCCAATTAACATAAAAGATTATCCTATATAGTCCAAAAAGCATATTAGGTCAGCATGACTGAGCATCTATATGTGCATATTAAAGTAAACAAAAAGTTTGTGAAATGCTGAAATGTTAGCAAAATTAATCTCTTGAGCATTAAGGTTATTTTTAAAGTTAGCAACCTATTGTATTTATGTGCTAACTACTTAATAACAGAATGTTTTGTGAAAGTTTAAAGCATATGGTGACACGTATACTAGGAGTCTTTGAACATATGACCTTACAGACTGCACCTGTATGTCTACTTTGCCTTCTCTTTTCTCCTTCCTTTTGCCTTGTTAATCCTGTAATCTGGCAAACAGATCGCCATGAAACTTTTTTTCCAATCTGCACCTTGTATTTGTGGAGCTTGTTGTCTACTTGTAAAATCTCACCCCCAACAGCTTTTCGAGAGGTTATCTTCTGCCCATCCCTGGCTACTCCTTTGTCCTTGCCCAGATGACGAACAAGGACAATCTCCCCCACTTCATACTCAGAAGGGGGATTGGTCTTCAAATGTTTATCCACCATTTTCGATGAAGATTTGTCTGATTTTATCAGGACTTCTCTCCTGATATCTTGCAGTTCTTTTAATCTGCTAAGGGTCCCTTCACTAACCTAATAACAAAAATAATTATAAGACCATACATGCGTCCATACCATACCATACCAGATAACATATACCATATCATACCATATCATATGTCAAACCAAACCTTACCATACCATTTGCAATACCATACCATATCATAGAATATTGTACCATACCATATCAGATGCCATAGAATACCATGCCATTCCATATAACATACCATATGCCATAACATATACCATATCATATGCCATAACCACATCATATCATATACCGTACCATAACACTCCATATGCAATGTCATACCCTGCCATACCACACCTTACGATACCATATACCATACCATGTACCATATATCATATACCATACCATATACCATACCATATACAATACCATATACAATACCATATAGTATAGTATACCATATAGTATACCATATACCATATCATATACCATATCATATACCATACCATACCATATATTATACCACACCATATCATACGCCAATATTATATCATATGTCCTGCCATACAAGACCAAATGCCATACTATTCCATATTCCATGCAATACCATATACCATGTCATATCATATCATAGCATATGCCATACCATACCACATGCAATGCCATACCATACCATACCATATACCGTATACCATACACCACACCACACCATACCATATCATCTCATATGTCACACCATACTATATGCCATACCTTATCATACCATACCAACTCATATGCCATAGTATACCATATACAATGCAATACCATACCATACCATATGCTATACCATACCACATGGTATGTCATACCATACCATATATTATACCACACCATATCATACGCCAACATTATATCATATGTCATGCCATACAAGACACTCAGAAGGGGGATTGGTCTTCAAATGTTTATCCACCATTTTCGATGAAGATTTGTCTGATTTTATCAGGACTTCTCTCCTGATATCTTGCAGTTCTTTTAATCTGCTAAGGGTCCCTTCACTAACCTAATAACAAAAATAATTATAAGACCATACATGCGTCCATACCATACCATACCAGATAACATATACCATATCATACCATATCATATGTCAAACCAAACCTTACCATACCATTTGCAATACCATACCATATCATAGAATATTGTACCATACCATATCAGATGCCATAGAATACCATGCCATTCCATATAACATACCATATGCCATAACATATACCATATCATATGCCATAACCACATCATATCATATACCGTACCATAACACTCCATATGCAATGTCATACCCTGCCATACCACACCTTACGATACCATATACCATACCATGTACCATATATCATATACCATACCATATACCATACCATATACAATACCATATACAATACCATATAGTATAGTATACCATATAGTATACCATATACCATATCATATACCATATCATATACCATACCATACCATATATTATACCACACCATATCATACGCCAATATTATATCATATGTCCCGCCATACAAGACCAAATGCCATACTATTCCATATTCCATGCAATACCATATACCATGTCATATCATATCATAGCATATGCCATACCATACCACATGCAATGCCATACCATACCATACCATATACCGTATACCATACACCACACCACACCATACCATATCATCTCATATGTCACACCATACTATATGCCATACCTTATCATACCATACCAACTCATATGCCATAGTATACCATATACAATGCAATACCATACCATACCATATGCTATACCATACCACATGGTATGTCATACCATACCATATATTATACCACACCATATCATACGCCAACATTATATCATATGTCATGCCATACAAGACCAAATGCAATACTATACCATATTCCATGCAATACCATATACCATGCCATATCATATCATAGCATATGCCATACCATACCACATGCAATGCCATACCATACCATACCATATACCGTATACCATACACCACACCACACCATACCATATCATCTCATATGTCATACCATACTATATACCATACCTTATCATACCATACCAACTCATATGCCATACTATACCATATACAATGCAATACTATACCATACCATATGCTATATCATACCACATGATATGTCATACCATACCTCCTACAATGCCCTACTATACCATACCATAGCATATCATACCATATACCATGCCATTCAGAGCATAGCAAAGCATATGCCATATCATATGTCATGCCATACCATATGCCATATCCTATCATTTGCCATACCATACCACATGGAATGCCCTACCATACCATACCATATGCCATACACCACACCATGCCATCTCATGCCAAACCATCTCATGTCATACCATACCATATGTCATACCATACCATATGCCATAGCTTATCATACTATATTATATGCCATACAATATGCAATGCAATGCCATGTCATACCATACCATACCATTATCATACCATACCATACCACATACAATGTCCTACTATACCATACCATAGCAAACCATATACCATGCCAGATCATATACCATATCATAAGCCATACCATGTGCCATACCATATCATATGCCATACCATACAACATGTAATGCCCTACCATACCATATACCACACCATACCATACAATATGTCATGCCATATCATATGCCATACCATATCATATGCCACACCATACCTTATACCATTTCCCATACCATACCATGTCATACCATATATCATACCATATCATATACCATACATTATATCTTATGTCCTGCCATACCATACCATATGTCCTGGACCAGCAGAACAGTATGAACAGCGATGGGGCGACTGCGTGTAGCTACTATGTCCTGGACCAGCCCAACAGTATGAACAGCGATGGGGCGACTGCGTGTAGCTACTATGTCCTGGACCAGCACGACAGTATGAACAGCGATGGGGCGACTGCGTGTAGCTACTATGTCCTGGACCAGCACGACAGTATGAACAGCGATGGGGCGACTGCGTGTAGCTACTATGTCCTGGACCAGCACGACAGTATGAACAGCGATGGGGCGACTGCGTGTAGCTACTATGTCCTGGACCAGCCCTACAGTATGAACAGCGATGGGGTGACTGCGTGTAGCTACTATGTCCTGGACCAGCACGACAGTATGAACAGCGATGGGGTGACTGCGTGTAGCTACTATGTCCTGGACCAGCACGACAGTATGAACAGCGATGGGTGGGGCGACTGCGTGTAGCTACTATGTCCTGGACCAGCACAACAGTATGAACAGCGATGGGGCGACTGCGTGTAGCTACTATGTCCTGGACCAGCACGACAGTGTGAACAGCGATGGGGCGACTGCGTGTAGCTACTATGTCCTGGACCAGCACGACAGTATGAACAGCGATGGGGCGACTGCGTGTAGCTACTATGTCCTGGACCAGCACGACAGTATGAACAGCGATGGGGCGACTGCGTGTAGCTACTATGTCCTGGACCAGCACGACAGTATGAACAGCGATGGGGCGACTGCGTGTAGCTACTATGTCCTGGACCAGCACGACAGTATGAACAGCGATGGGGCGACTGCGTGTAGCTACTATGTCCTGGACCAGCACGACAGTATGAACAGCGATGGGGCGACTGCGTGTAGCTACTATGTCCTGGACCAGCACAACAGTATGAACAGCGATGGGGCGACTGCGTGTAGCTACTATGTCCTGTACCAGCCCTACAGTATGAACAGCGATGGGGCGACTGCGTGTAGCTACTATGTCCTGGACCAGCCCAACAGTATGAACAGCGATGGGGCGACTGCGTGTAGCTACTATGTCCTGGACCAGCACGACAGTATGAACAGCGATGGGGCGACTGCGTGTAGCTACTATGTCCTGGACCAGCACGACAGTATGAACAGCGATGGGGCGACTGCGTGTAGCTACTATGTCCTGGACCAGCACGACAGTATGAACAGCGATGGGGCGACTGCGTGTAGCTACTATGTCCTGGACCAGCCCTACAGTATGAACAGCGATGGGGTGACTGCGTGTAGCTACTATGTCCTGGACCAGCACGACAGTATGAACAGCGATGGGGTGACTGCGTGTAGCTACTATGTCCTGGACCAGCACGACAGTATGAACAGCGATGGGTGGGGCGACTGCGTGTAGCTACTATGTCCTGGACCAGCACGACAGTATGAACAGCGATGGGTGGGGCGACTGCGTGTAGCTACTATGTCCTGGACCAGCACAACAGTATGAACAGCGATGGGGCGACTGCGTGTAGCTACTATGTCCTGGACCAGCACGACAGTGTGAACAGCGATGGGGCGACTGCGTGTAGCTACTATGTCCTGGACCAGCACGACAGTATGAACAGCGATGGGGCGACTGCGTGTAGCTACTATGTCCTGGACCAGCACGACAGTATGAACAGCGATGGGGCGACTGCGTGTAGCTACTATGTCCTGGACCAGCACGACAGTATGAACAGCGATGGGGCGACTGCGTGTAGCTACTATGTCCTGGACCAGCACAACAGTATGAACAGCGATGGGGCGACTGCTTGTAGCTACTATGTCCTGGACAAGCAGAACAGTATGAACAGCGATGGGGCGACTGCGTGTAGCTACTATGTCCTGGACCAGCACAACAGTATGAACAGCGATGGGGCGACTGCGTGTAGCTACTATGTCCTGGACAAGCACGACAGTATGAACAGTGATGGGGCGACTGCGTGTAGCTACTATGTCCTAGACCCAGTAACATCGTCTACAACGTCTACGCGGGGCGAGGACTGTACACGTTTAACTGGAGACGAGTATGCTGGAATTTTAACATGCTTCTCCGCGGCGACCGTGCTGTCATGGTACTCAACTGAAGGTATAGGGGGCGCGTCTTGTCAAAAACTGTTAGATCTGAATACTTCATGATAACATTGTGTTTAATTT